ACTATTTATATACAACCCTAATTAAGTTTGGGCTAACACAACTTGGATTATATTAAATATTAAATCAAATCAAATCAAATATAATTTAATTTAATATTTCAACACACCTCCATAATCCAAGTTGTCGAACATCCTCAAAAATAGTCAATCTGAATTATTCCTAATTTCTTTCTCAAATTCAGGAATTTGTCGATTTTCAATCTTTTGGTAAAAATGTCGACCAATTGTGCTTCACTTAAGCAATGCCTAACTTCAAGTTCACCTTGATTTACTTTTTCCCTCAAGACCTTGCTTCAATATGTTTACTTCTTCCATGCAGAACTGGATTCTTCGCCAGATTTATGGCTGACTTGTTGTCTATTTGCAATACTAGAGGTTTCTTCACTTCGACAGTCATTTCTTCAAGTACAGATCTGATCCAAATTGCTTGACATGCCGCATAGGATCCTGCTATATATTCAGCTTCACACGATGACAATGCCACCACATGTTGCTTCTTCGAACACCATGAGATTGGAGCACCAAATACTTGAAAGAAATATTCAGTTGTGCTTCTTCGATCTTCCTTATCTCCACACCAATCAACATCTGAAAAACAATTAACTATTGCTTCTTTGCCTTCAGAATCTCGTCGAAATAGTATTCCACAATTTATTGAACCCTTCAAATATCGAAGGATTCTTCTTGCAACCTTCATATGTGATACTCTTGGTTCATCCATATATCTGCTTATTAATCTGACTGTGAAACCTATATCAGGTCGACTGTTGCACACATACCTCAGAGATCCCACAATTTAATTGAACAAAGTTGCATCGACTTTGTCTTCCTCTCCATTCTTCTCCAACTTCACATTTAGTTTGACAGGTGAGGATGCAGGATTCGAATCATCCATTCTGAATCTCTTGAGTATCTCTTTGACATGTTTTCTTTGATGTAGCACCATACCTTGCTTCGACATTTGAAATTCTATGCCTAGAAAATAAGACAATTTTCCTAGATCCGACATTTCAAATTCCTTCGTCATCAGCTCTTTGAACTTCGACAAGTTCTCCAAACTATTTCCAGTTACTAGCAAGTCATCAACATACAAGCAGGTGATTGTAATATCTTATGCTACAACCTGAACATAGACACCATGCTCTGATTTGCATTTGACAAATCTTAATTCGACTAAGCATGAGTCGATCTTCTTGTTCCATGCCCTAGGTGCCTTCTTGAGGCCATAGAGCACTTTGTGCAATCTATATACTTTACTCGCTTCCTTCTGAATCACAAACCCAGGAGGTTGTGTGATATAAACTTCTTTGTCTAAAGGACCATTCAGAAATGCTGATTTCACATCTAGATGGAATATTGACAAGTCTTGGTTGCATGCCAATGCTACTACTAGTCGAACAATCTCTAATCTTGCTACTGGAGCAAATACTTCAGAGTAGTCAAGTCTTGCTCTTTGAAGAAAACCTCGAGCTACTAATCTTGATTTATGGCTTGCTATTGACCCATCTGCATTGTGTTTCAACTTGAACACTCACTTTACTTCAATAGCTTTTGTATATGCTGACAATTCGACTAACTCCCATGTGTTGTTTCTTTCGATTGCATGTAACTCTTCGACCATAGCTAACTTCCACTTGTTAATCTTCCACCTGCAAGTAAAGCAAAATGAACTAATTCTCCATCTGGCGTGATTTCATCATCACCCACCACTTCATAATCATGAAGTCTTGTTGGCAGAACTCTATTTCTTTAAGGTCTTTGGCTTGTTTCAGCCACAACCTCTTCGACTTTGACTGTGACGGGAGTGTCAGCAACCGCTTTTTCTTCGACTTCGACTGGATTCTCAACAATTCCTTCGACCTCTACTTCATTAGTTTCTTCGTCGAAATCAAATTTCATTAATGATTTGTTAATTGAATTGCTAGAATTCTAATCCCAGGCAGAATTTTCATTAATCACAATATCTCGACTCAACACAATCTTCTTATTAACTGGATTGAATAGTCTGTATGCACCAGTTTTATGATATCCTACCAGAATCATAGGTTCACTCTTGTTATCAAGCTTCATTCTCTTTGCATCAAGAACATGCTTGTAACACATAGTGCCAAACACCTTCAATTGACTTACTGATGGTCGTTTGCCACTCCACACTTCTTCAGGAACCTTGTTCTTCAATATCTTAGTAGGACACCTATTCAAAATATAAACTGCAGTCGAAACAGCTTCTCCCCAAAAAGATTTTGGCAAATTCTTTTGCTTCAGCATGCATCTCGCCATATCTAATATGGTTCTATTCCTTCTTTCATCAATTTCATTATGTTAAGGTATGTAAGAAGCAGTTACCTCATGATCAACACCATGTTCTGCACAGAAATCTTCAAACATCTTGGATGTGTATTCGCCACCTCCATCTGTTCGTAGAGCTTTGATCTTCTTCTCACTCTGGTTTTCGACAAGTATCTTGAATCTCTTAAAGATTTTGAATACTTCTTTCTTTCATTTGATCACATAGATCCACAACTTTCGACTAAACTCATCGACAAATGAAATAAAATATATGTTTCCACCAATTATATGTTCTTCGAATGGACCACATACATCTGAATGCACTACTTCGAAAATGCAGGATGATCTCATTGACATAGTCGAAATGAAAGAATTTCTAGATTACTTTTCCACTAAACAACCTTCACAAAGTTTTTCAGACATATCAAGGCTTAGAATACCAGTATTCATATCTTGAGTAATCAGTTGATTAAGTGATCGAAAATTCAAATGTCCAAACCTCAAGTGCCACAACCAACTATCCTTGTGGTCGACAATAATTTTCAAGCATTGAACTTCTGTCGAACTGATCATAGTCTTAAATGTCCTATTCTTCGACAATGGAGATTTTAAGATCAAATTGTTTTTTGTGTCGAACAATTTTAAAACTCCATCTTTCATGACAACTGAGAAACCTTTTTTGACTAGTTGTCCAACACTTAGCAAGTTGCATTTCATTCCAGGTACATAGAGCACATCTTTGATCATAGCTTTTCCCCCATTACTCATTTGAAAGACTATGTTTCCAGTATCCTCTGCTTGCAACGAACTATTATCAGCAAGTTTTACCTTGCTCTTCTTCGACTTGTCAAAATTTTCCAACCACTCCTTTCGACCAGTCATGTGGTTCGAGCAGCCTGAGTCGAGAAACCAGATATTGGATTCAACATGGTTATCTACAACTGCAATCATAACCATCATACCACCTTCAGAATCATCTGAATCTTGGCGTGTATGGTTCGCTCCTTCGTCCTTTCCTTTCGATCCTTTATCTTTTTTGTACCAACAATTCTTGTCCAAGTGTCCCCACTTTTCACGGTTATAACACCGCATACATTTCTTATCTTCTTTGTCCTTTCGATAGTTTCCTCCTCCCCTTTTCGAGGATTCAGAAGATATATCTTCAACTTTATTCTTATGGGGATTCGACCAAGACTTCTTGCCATGAGTCTTGTCGAACTTGCCTTTGAATTTGTTGGAACCACCATCTTTTTTCCATGATTGAGCTTGCAGTGCCTGTATCGAGTCCTGGACTCCTTTCCTTTCGACAATCCTCATCTCATGCGCCTCCAACGAACCAACCAAATCTTCCACTTTAGTGGTTTCAAGATTGTTGGATTCTTGAATAACTACGATAATGTGATCAAAGTGGGAGGTCAACGTTCTCATTACCTTCTCAACTATCATCTTATCAGTAATGGTTTCACCACAATCCTTCATGAGATGGACGAGTTTTTGAATCTTTAACACATATTCTGCAACTTTTTCATCTTCTCTCATCGACAACAAATCATATTATCGACGCAAGGTTTGTAATTTGACAACCTTGACTTTCTCACCTCCTTCAAAATACTTTACCAGAATATCCTGTGCCTCCTTCGCTGTTTCAACATGAGAGATTCTGTCGAAGTTAGCAGCATCGTCAGCCGCTTGAATGCAATAAGCAACCTTGTAATCTTTCTTCTTGACTTTGTTGTGGGATTTTTTTCTATTCGTCGATTGCATTTGCAGCCAATGCAAGAACGTCGACGGTAACCACTTTTAGGGTTTCATGGAAGCCAAACAAGGATTGCATCTGTTTTTTCCATCGAATCCAATTTTTACCGTCAGGCATTGGAAGAGAATTCAGAATGCCCTTATCACTAGCCATCTTCGCATCGGTTGATTTACTTGTCCTAAAAAAACGATTTCTGACGTGAAATTCTTGAAAACATGATCAATAACAATAACCGAAAGCTCTGAATACCAATTTGTGAGTGCGTGAGGTACTTTTAGTGAGGAGAGAAAGAGAGAATAATAAAGTAAATAAAGATTTGTATTATTCAAGTGTACAAATAATAATACACACTATAACTATTTATATACAACCTTAATTGGACTTGAGCTAACAACTTAAATTATATTAAATATTAAATCTAATCAAAACTAATCTAATTTAATATTTTAATATATATTATTTAAATGATTTTAAAATATAAAAATATTTTAATAAAATAATAATATTTATTAGTTAACAGTATAAAATTACACTATCAACTTATCTTCTATTTTCTTATAACAATATGAAGGGAAAAAAAAGGTGAATATAGACTTTATTGTTTGTTGATAAAAGGTAAGTATAGCATTTGAACCTTATTATGGTGGGCATATATTCTTATCTCATGAATAAATAAAAGCTTACACGTTCGGAATAATTTGATCAATATACAGAATTTCAATATGCAACGTTGTTGGTCCATAAATTTTCATGACAATACTACTCGCCATTTTTTATTTACATATTAATAATGATCAAACATAGCATTTTTCTTTTTGTTTTTGTTGTTGTTGACACAATCAATCATTTTCTTTTCCTTTATGTAAACATTGATAATATTAATAATGCTAGAAATATTCGTTACCATATCCTTTAAATTAATCTTTACTTTATGGTACGATAATTCAATGTGTCATCAAAGCATCCACCCAGTGGAGAATCCATTCATACTTAAGGATGGAGCTCCAACGTTTACATCATCACAAGAACCCATCATATTGTATCTGCATATTAAATCAATTAAACATTCACTATAAACTATATTACCAAAATGTATAGAAAGATAAATTCTATATTATGAACAAATAATATGGTAAAATATCATTTTATTTTTTGCAAAAAATTTGAATTTAAATTTTATAAAGCCAACACTTTTTAGTTTACAAAATTTATATAAATGATTATATAAATATAAATAAATACAGTTGTTAGGACTGAATTTAAAACTTATTTATCTCTATTGACACATATAGGTACCATCTACACAAAAATGAACTCTAGGTTAATAATTAAGTTAATATGTCTTTTAGCTTATGTTATTTGGACGAATTTTGAAAAACACTCTTATAAAAAAAAATCAAAATTTGATTATTAATATTTCAAGATTTCATTATTTTAACGTGATAATATTTTTTTTTTTAATTTTTAATATTATTTTTAATGATATAGCCGACATTTAAAATTTCTTTTAAAAATTTCAGCAAACACACAACTAACCACTAGACTACACTCTGTTTGTTATATTGTTTCCTAGAAATCTATATATTATTACATGTTTAGATTACAATATTACAAAAGTAAATTTTAATTATATCAATTACATTTTAATTCAATTATCTCACACATAAACTTATATTTTTATTTCATTTTATAAACATAATAATATTAATTTATTATTTTTTATCATATTTTATCATGCATAATAATATATTTTTTAAATATATAAATAGATTAACAATAAAATATTTATAAAGAACAATGAACAATATCTTTATAAATTTATAAAAACAATAATATATAAAAATATTTTCAAATTATATTCAAATAGATTTATTTATAACAACAATATTATTATATATTACAATGTTTGATCCTATAAATATTCTTATAAATGTTTCTATTAGAATTTTTATATATGGTCCTGAGTTCAACACTCTATACGATCATTTTATTAGACTTTGAATTTTAACTATTAACACTAAAATATTAAATATTTTTAAATAATTATTTAATAAATATTATCTAAATATGAAATAAAAATATATTATATATTATTTATTATATTTTCATTCAATTATATATATATATATATATATATATATATATATATATATATATATATATATATATATATATATATATATATATATATATATATATATATATATATATATATATATATATATATATATATATATATATATATATATATATATATATATATATATATATATATATATATATATATATATATATATATATATATATATATATTTATATATTTATTTATTTAAAGAATTATTTATCAAATTGTATAATAAATATTTATCATATTTAATAAATATTTATTAAACAATTTAAATATTATTTAAATGATTTTAATTAAAATATATAATAATTAAGTATGGAGCAAACTACCAAACATTAAAATAACATTAAAAACATCACCTGAAATTTTAAAAATAAATAATAATAAAATATTGTCAACTAAGCTAAACATGTTATTAAAAATAATAGTAATAAATTATATAAAAAATTGCCACGTAAAAAATTCGTCCAAATAACCGCTAAAATAATTATTAGCCCTTAACAATTTATATTTATTTACCTTAATTGGTACATATCAATTGACCTTTCTCATTTACTCTAATATATATAAAGCTTAACTAATTATCATATTACTGTTAGATTTATGAAAATTCGAGCTTACCCAATTTGCAAGTTGGAATTCACTCCCACAGGGTGAAAAAATCCCTCTGATTGAGGATGAAAGCGTGTGTAATGGATATTAGACTCATTATTTTCTTCCAACTGTTTCAAAGTTAAATTTTCATTAGAAACAATTTCACAGCCTAATATTTAAGAATATAGCTTTGTTTTTTTTTTTTTATAGAATTTTTTGATTGTGAATTTTGCACACAATACCTCAATTTCAAGGTAAAATCAAAATATCTGAATTTGGTTTGAAAATAATTGTTACCTTACTTCTTAGTGCATGATTTGTTTCAACTAGCACTGTTTCCTGAATTGAATAAGCCAATGTTACATAAAATAAAATAAAAACATGAAAAAGGTTTCTGATTTTCACTTTATCTCAAGAAAAAGGAATACACATACATACCCGGTTGTGAAGATCAGCAAGTTGATCAAGCATGAATTGAGTCTGAAAAAATTCCAACATTTTACAATTAATACATAGTACATGGGAAGAAACACCACATAAAATGTTACTTCAGTCTTAAAATATAAGAAAAAATATTATTTTTTAGATTTATTAAAAAATTAATACATCTAAATTACATATAATTTAGATACATTAATTCTTCAATAAATATAAAATTTTAGAAATTATAAGCACATTATGAATGTGACTAAACTCTTCCTTTTTCACACACATGTTTCAAGAATTTTTTGGTATTTTATTATCAAACATGTTTTTCATTTCGTTAACAACCTACCTTCTAATGTTTTACACAACAAATCTATCCTGAGAATTTATATGGTCTTGATCCAAATCTTCAACATCTCAAAGATTTTGGATGTTTAATATTTGCATTCTCAAGCAACACTCTCAAGCAAAGCGGCAATAAAAGAAAAGGGAAAATTATAGGACAAAAGCCTACACTTTAAAGGTTGACCCACCAAAAAATTATGTTAGAGTTCAGACAATTAGTCCCACCATCAACAAAACAAGAAATTGCAAGTAAAAAAATCAAAACCACTACACTGTTCTGGAAAGGGACCAACCTCTTAAACAACTATTGTTTTGAGCATAAGATAGGGTTTTTAAGCCAACACACAAATTGTTTGCACCTAATAGGAGTTCAATCTGAGACATTAAGAGGAGTACACTTTGACTCTGCCTACCTAACCAGTCCATCCTTAAACCAATTGGGATGGTCATCTTTCTCAGACCCATGAAGAGTGACTTTCCAAGTCAAAGACAATGAGTTGCTCAATTTTAAAAAAGCTTTCGTTGGCTTTGTAAATAATCTTGGAACCTCTTACAATATTCAAGAGATCTATAATAAAGAGGGTTTTGTTTCAATCCAATGTCACTCCTCTCGGTGCTAACTTGTGTCTTTTGGAAGATATAGTTCAAGGAGATTTGAAATCATTGTTAGAAGAAGATGTTGAATGGTTGTTTAAGTGATTTTCAGAGGTAGACCATGGAATCTGGCGGATGTGGATGATGCCAGGGTGGCTTGGATCATGTGCTATGGCATACCTTTCCATGGATGGAATCCAACTTTCTTTGAAGCTTTGGTGGAGCCTCTAGGTGAATGAATATCTATGTGCTGACAATAATACACGGTTGTGTGTTAAAATGAATGCTACAAGAATCCTTATAAAAATGAGGCATATAAAGGAGATTTTCGATGAAGTCAAAGTAGCGATCAATGACATATCCTTTTAAGTGAAGTTAGTTGAAGACTCTCAAAGCCCCTTACGAAACCTTGCAAATGAAGATTGTGACTCGGATAACTCTTCGTCGGAGGAATTTGAAGATGTAATTCGTGAATGGTTTGAGGAATAAGATGATGATGGGGTTGTTGAGAAATACATTCACATCGAGACAAGTGATATAGCAGGCCTCATATTAGACCATTTGAATGCAGAGGAAATTAACATTTAGGTGGTAAAACCCATTGATTCTAGTGGGTCTTGCAAAAAACACACATCAGTCCAATCCAATTAGGCCCATTAAATGGACCAGGACTAAAAATTGTAACTAGTGGCCCACATAACTCTCTTATCCTTGTCACACAACTAAAGTGAAAATGCAAGAAGCTATCTGAAATTGGTGATTTTGAGAAATTACCAGAAATCCTCATCCCTCACAAATTGAAACCCACTTCCATCGTCAGACTATCGTATTTCTCTTTCTATTCCCATCGAAATCAATGAAATTGCTTGGTCACTCTAAATCACTCCCTTCTTCTTTACCAAAGGAAATTTTCTCCGGGGAATCTGCTTTATGATGTGAGTCAACTTCTAATCAAGATGTTGTGTAAGGTGTTGGAAATAATTCATATTCAGAAACTATTGTTAGAATCAGAAGTTTCTGATGTTGTCAGTCAGAAGCAATGTTGCTCAGAAGCAGTAAAGCTTCTGAGGTTGTTAGTTAGAAGAAAAAGCTTATGAGGTTAAGCTCAGAAGTATGTTTAGCTTATGGGATTCTAGTTCTTTTGTTAGCGTAACTATTAAGTTTAATTTTCTTAGTTATTAAGTTTACTTTTTGTTAGAGTCTGCGTGGAAATTTACTTTGTGTATAAATAGACTAGTGTTAGTTGTCATAAAAATGTTCAATCATTCTTCCTTACAACTTTACAGCCGTCATCGTAGAGCTTTAATATTATTCTCTCATACATTTTCTTCATTTATTAACCTTGTGCACTAAATAATTGATATCTAGAGCTCCGATTTGGATTCACAGGGAAACACAGAAAACATGAGTGAAATAGTGAGACGTTATGTGATTGATTTTGGTTCTTGAATTCGTGTTGAATCTTAAACAAGATCTGAACAGAATCACATTTTTTATTTTGTGGGATTGATAAACATTGTGTCTGTGAGATCTGAGTGTTTTATACAAGGTTGAAGATGACCAGAAATAGTAGTCTAAGCACCACGCTTCCAGTATTTAATGGCAAAAACTAGAATTGTTGGATGATTCAGATGCATGTGTTGTTTGGCGCTCAGGATGTTATGGAGTTTGTTACAAATGATTATGTTCCAGTTGCAGCAGATGTAACGGAGGAACATAGAAATGCACAGAGAAATACAAGGAAGAAAGATCAGAAGACGTTGTTCTTTATCCATCAGTGTGTGGATGAGAACGTGTTTGAGAAAATTGTTGATTCAACGACGACAAAGGATGCGTGGGACACACTGAGTAGGTGTTATGGTGGTGGCGCATCAGTGAAGAAGGTGAAGCTCCAGTCTCTCAAAAAGCATGCTTCTGGAAGGGAAAACTCTAAAGACATAGGGTCTAGAGGACAAGCTTCTGAAGATAATCATGTTTCTGGTGGAAATCATGTCTCTAAAGGCGGACCTTCTGAAGGAGGAGCTTCTGAAGGTAGTCCAGCCTCTGACGGTGATCATGATTCTGAAAGTGGAACTTCTGAAGGCAGTGTTTTTGAAGGTAGTGGTTTTAAACGAGGTCCATAAGTTAACAAATGTGTAGCTTCTGGTGGTAGTCGAACTTCTGAAGAAAGTCCAAAAGGAGATATCGTTCCAGAATCTGAAGGAGATTTTGAACAATTCCAGAGGCCACGACGAATCAGACAAATATCAAAGAGATTTACAGAGTGACATACTGCAAGATACTGAAGAGACTCTGAGGTATGGAGTGTTGTTCCCTTCTGGTGTTAAATATGACTCGAAACTGATATGTTATTCAAACTCTGATTTGTATGGAGGCAGAGTTGACAGAAGAAATACTTCTGGATATTTTTGTTTGTATCTGGAAAATCCTATTTCTTGGTGCTCCAAGAAGCAACTGGTGGTTGCGTTATCAACCTGTGAAGCTCTCAAGAAGAAAGTATGGCTGGAGGCTATAGAAAGAAACAACACTTGGGAGTTGACTAAGCTTCTGAAGGAGAAGAAAAACATCAGCGTCAGATGGGTCTTCAAGGTGAAATCTGCATTTCTGAATGGAGTTTCACATTGTACCAACCAGAAGCAACTTGCAGATATTCTGATGAAGGATGTCAAGACTGAACACTTTATCCGTATGAGGGATGAAATTGGTCTTGTATTTTTTTAGTTAGCTGAATATGAATTAAGAGATGGTGTTGGAAGTAATTCATATTCAGAAACTGTTGTTAGAATCAGAAGCTTCTGATGTTGTCAGTCAGAACAAGTGTTGCTCAGAAGCAGTAAAGCTTCTGAGATTGTTAGTCAGGAGCAGAAGCTTCTGAAGTTATGTTTAGCTTTTGGGGTTCTAGTTCTTTTGTTAACATAGCTATTAAGTTTAGTTTGCTTAGTTATTAAGTTTTTTTTTGTTAAGGCCTACGTGACAATTTACTTTGTGTGTAAATAGACTAGTGGTAGCTGTCATAAAAATGTCCAATCATTCTTCCTTACAAATTTATAGTCGTTATTGCAGAGCTTTAATATTATTTTTTCATACATTTTCTTCATTTATTAACCTTATGCACTAACATAAGGTAATTCAAGATTTTGGAGTCAGGAGGAACAAAGAGTAGCTTCAACCATCTGGAAGAAAGCTCCTTAAAAACATGCTCAAAGTTTGGAATTATGAGGTTTTTGGGAAACTTGATTTACAAGTTGATGAAGTTGTTCAAGATCTAAATTTGATAGATAGATTGGTGGTTTATGATGATAACATAATCAATATTGAGTCTATTGATAGAAGGCGGGAGGCTCCAACTCTAGTTTGGGAAAATGTGTATTAGAGAATTCTTGCTTCGACAGAATCTAAGTGCAAATGGTTAAAGAAGGGATATCATAATTCGAGATTCTTCCACTCCTGTATGAAGAATAGATTTCATCGTAATTGATCATTGGCATTAAAGTGGGTGATGTATTGGTTGAAGGTGTAGAGGGTATTAAGTAGAAGGCTCTTAAACATGTTCATGTTCATGAGCGTTTCCAAGAGCCTCTGGTTAACAGGCCAAAACTAGATGGTGTCCCTTTCAAAGAGTTATACACTGAAGATAAATTCCATCTTGAGCTCCTTTTTTGATACAAGACATCAAAAGTGTAATTTGGAATGTAGCAAGTGGGAAGAGCCCGGGTCAAGACGGGTTTTCACTAGAATTTTTTAAAGCTACTTGGAGAATAATTTAGCACGATATGTTTGACTATATATCTGATTTTTTTGCATGTTCATCTTCCAAATTAAACGACTTCATCCTTTATCTCCTTAATTCTGAAAAATCATACCCTACCAGGATTGAATGATTACCGTCACATTTACCTTATCTAAAGCATTTATCGAATTATCTCAAAAATGCTAGCTGGTGGATTAAAAGGGATCATGGATAAACTTGTATCAAAGAATCAGTCGACTTTCGTTCACAACAGAGGGATCACTACTACAAAAAACACATATAATCACGGTTGTGAAACCCTTATAATCACAGTTGAGCAACTGTGGTAACTTAGCGTGTGGTTGTAAGTAGGCTATATACAATCATGGTCTATTGGTCATGGTAATAAACTGAAAATGTGTGCTACGTATAAGCACGATTGTAATAAATACTTGTGGTGAAAGGTCAGTCAACATTTTCCATTTTTGCCACATGTTTTGCCTGATTATATTGATAACTTTCATCATAATATATAATATTAAATATTTTTAACACAACAATAACAAGAACAACAACAACAATAACAAGAACGACAACAACAACAATAACAATAATAAGAACAATAACAAGAACAACAACAAGATAACAGGAACAACAACAACAAAAATAAGAACAACAACAACAACAACAACAATAACAAGAACAAGAACAACAATAAAATAAATAAATATAATCGTTAAACAAGAACATTTTACCTGACACGACAACAACAACTAGTGTTGCTAAGTTGAATTTGTGAGTTATATGCCTCATTCAATTTGGAGAAAAGATGGTAGAGTTCGGAAACTCGTTAATAGAAGAAATATTTTTGAGTTTAGTTTATGGAAGAAACGATGTTTTCAAATTTGGTTTAGTGGAGGAATTGTGTTTCATAAATGAAAGAAGTTTGGAGGCAGAAGATGAAGTTTGTGCATATATATATATATATATATATATATATATATATATATATATATATATATATATATATATATATATATATATATATATATATATATATATATATATATATATATATATATATATATATATATATATATATATATATATATATATATATAAAACAGAAGGCGCCACTTTTCACCATGGTTGGAATTGCAGTCGTGATGAAAAGTGGCTTAAAAATAAGTAAAAAATAAAAAATGTTGGTGCTGGGATTCGAAAGCATGACCTGACACCACTTTTTACCACAATTAGAATTTCAATCGTGGTTAAAAATGACTTAAAAATAAGTAAAAAATAAAAAAAATGATGGTGCTGGGATTTGAACCCATGACCCGGCGCCACTTATCACCACAGTTGGAACTCCAACTGTGGTTAAAAGTTACCCTTTCATACTCTTCACCACGGTTGTTATTAAGGACCATAGTGAAAAGTCTTTTGATAAAATAAAAAAAATACACGCGCCTAAATATCACCTATTACTTCGGATGATTGAATAGGTGTGGTAATAACATGCTACGGAAAGTATATTTTGTAGTAGTGGATGCTCGATGGTGTATTGGTGCTCAACAAGTTGGTGGATTTGGCGGAACGAAGTAGGAAAGGTCTTTTTATTTTCAAATTAGATTTTGAAAAAGCGTTTAACTCTGTTTCCTGGGAATATTTGATGTATGTTCTAAGAAGAATGAATTTCGACAACAATTTGATAAGCTAGATTAGAGAGTGTGTCTGCTCTAATTCCTTCTCTATTCTGGTTAATGGCAGCCCCACAATTAATTTTCAAGCAAAGTGAGGGCTCCGTCAAGGGGATCGTCTCTCTCTGTTTCTCATCATCTTGGTTGCAGAAGGAATAATTGACTTGATGAAAAACATGTGTTCAATGAATTCCTTTTAACCTTTTTCCTTAACATATCTGCTTCAATGTGAGTTGCTTCAATTCGTGGACGATACAATGATCGTGGCTAAACTTGCTTGAGAAAGTATCTTGAATATCAAAGCTATATTGCACGATTTTGAGATTGCTTATGGATTATATGTTAATTTACATAAAAGTAGGATCTTTGGAATAAATGTTACACATGATTTCTTGATGGCAACTCTAAATTATTTGTCTTGTGCAATAAGTCATCTTTCATTTTCTTTTCTTGGCATTCTGATGGCTGCAACCCAAGAAAGAGGTCTACGTGGGAATCAATGCTCTCAAATTTAAGAAATAAATTGAAATTGTGGAAAGGGAAAGAGATCTCGTTGGGAGGAAGGATCAATTTGATTAACTCTGTGCTGAATTCAATTCCTCTGTTTTCTTTTTCTTTTTATAAAGCACTAAAGGTTGTTCACAACGACATCATTGAAATTCAGCGTGTTTCTTATGGAATGGATAATATAAACAAAAGAGGAACAATTGGGTAACATGGTCCACTATCTGTCAGTCTAAAGCAGATGGAGGTCTTGGGATTAAACACTGTGAAATGTTTAATCGGGCGCTCTTGAGTAAATGGGTCTGGAGGATCTATCAGAGGAGGATTATGTTTGACACCTGGCACTCTCATTTAAATATGGAGACATTACGGCTTCATCTCTCAATTCTTTTTTTCCATCCAACAACTCAAAATCTTCTTATGGTGGCGGGATTTACAGATTGTTTTGATAAATTATACTGATGATGGAAATTGGTTTGATAGTTGCATTGCTTATAAATTGAGAAGTGGGAATTCAATTGACTTTTGGATGGACTATTGGATTGGGCAACATCTTTTATCTAGACAATACCATTTTCTGTTTGAATTTTTGCAGAGGTCTCGGTTGAAAATATGTAGTGTTGGCTTATAGCTTAATGGAGTGTGGCTTTTAAACTTCACCGGATTCGACATGGTGTTGCAGGATGTTTCCTTGAACGAAGTTGAATCCCTACATAATAATCTGATTAGAATATCTCCAACCGCGGGAAAGCTCGATAGATTTGTTTGGTGGTTCAACCCAAACAACTTCTCTGTCAAATCAACTTATTCTAAATTGATTCGTAGTCATTTTACTAATGAGATATCATATTCCTTTTTGAATCCAACATTGTATTGCTTTTCGAAAGCTAGTGTTCCATCTAACATTCAAGTCTTCGCGTGTCGCCTTCACTTTAAAAGGCTTCAAACTAGAGATAAATTGGTGAAGTGGGGCATTATTTTAGGAGTGCATTGTCTTGTATGTTCGATGTGCTTCGATTCCTAAGAATCGCATCATCATTTGTTCTTTTTGTTTGCTTTGTTGTTTCACAGGTTTGGTTACTCACTTTTGATTGGATTGACTTGCCCTCTATCTCCATTGTTGATGGTGATATTTCAGATCATTTATTGGTTTTTAATCTGGCCTTGAGAGGTAAAATTAATAAAAAGTGTAGGATCCTTATTTGGTTAGTGGTCGTTAGGGTTATTCGGCTGATAAGAAATGACACTTTGCTTAATGGGGGTATGAATGGAGCTCCTGATATTGTTTTAGTTGCGAAGCAGATATGAGGATGTTATGGTGAATGTATGGCAAGACTTAACAAGATAAAATTAAAAATAAAAATATTATGGAGAGTGTCAGTGCTTTGAGCATATAGAGAAAAGACATATAGACTTTATAGTAATTAAGGAGAGTAGACCTGATGAAAAGAAGACAAACAATTTAAAGAAGAGGAAAACTCATCAAGACTATAAGAAAAATTATTAAAAAATCATTTTGATATTAAGGCTTAATTGTTATTGTTGTGGCCTTAGACCCTTAACCTTTATAGATAATTTTCATATTTGACAATGAAGCAATTCACACTCCGTGTTAAAGGAGGGTATTAGAGGAGTAGTTAACATGTCATACATAATGTTGACTTTGTCTAAATACTATAGTTATTTATAATTAATTATAAATAACCTTCAATTATTTCAGTTACATTTCCTCCAATCCTTGTATATTTATATATTTTTTATTATTATTTTAATAATGAGACAAACTCTCTTTTCATTCAACAATTATAAGTCACTTAAAATGGTGTGTATAAGTAAATTCAAAAGTTAAAATTACTTGTACACCATATATATAAACATGCCTCATTTGTGGAAGTTAGCAATAACAAATGACAAATTAATTTTTGAAATTGAAATTGAACAATATTACCTTTGTTGATCTTATATTTTTAAGTGCTGCCTCTAACTGATTCTCTATTTGCTGGAGTTCATTTGTATTCATTTGTGCTATATCTTCTCCGAGAAGGTTTCTACACCATTTAAAAACATTAACTCACTCAAAGTGTTTTCTACACCATTTAAAAATATTAACTCACTCAAAGTGTTTATCAAAACACTCAACATATATGTATGAACTCAGAATAATAAAGTACAACTATATAGATAGAATATTCAAGTGCATTTTTTATTTAATTACCTTTGTGAACGTTGTAAGATTTCTACATTTGCTTTTAATCTCACATATTCCTGGTAATTCTGTCAAATAGGAAAAAAGAAAGAGGAAATGAAAATTATGAGAAATTATATTTATATACACGCTCTGGTCACTATTATAAGCACACACAAAAAAAAGATTTATTGAATAAATGATATATATGATCATTATTATGTATATGATACATCAACTATTCAATAAACATAAAACTTTTTTTTTAATGATAATAATGACCAGAGAATATATTATTTATTTTAGTATAAAGAATTTATCGCACAACTATTTATTATCTCTAATCAAACTGAAAGAGATTTTTTATCATCTGATCCATAGATAAATTTATAATATTTATAAATAATAAAATTATGTGTAGAAAAGTGAAAAAGTTCTATGAAAAAAAAAAAGAGTATATATTTAAAAGGGTAGCTGAAGTCTGAAGATAATACATACATGAGCATCATTGGCTGGTTGATTGGTCTCTAGTGCATTGTAACTGTACTTGTGGTACTTCTCCAAAGTTTTCATCATGCTATAACACAAGTAAAAAAAACTCTAGTAATACTATTATAAAATTGGTACAATAAAATTTCATAAAAAAGTTATTAACCAATAGTTATTACACTTTCAATAAAAGACAAAAAGAAAAATTTACAACATAACAAAACAGTTGCTGCATATAGAATTTAATGTTTTATTTTTTGGTTTCTGTTATGAATCAAAACCAGTTATTCCCCAACGGTTTTTAGAATAGAAGCTGATTTACTTATTTACAGCCTTTTGAAGCAAAAGATACCATTTTTCTCTCTCTCTCTGAATAATCCTTAAACTGCAATGCAAATCCAAAGTAAAAAACAGGTTTGCATTGCAAATCAAACATCCTATCACTGACACCAAATCATAACAGTAAGAAAATCTTGGCCTATAGATCTTAATGCTCTATAACTATATCTGATGTTTATTAGGGTTAGTTCAAGGTTGAACATAAATAACCCTATTTAAACAAGTGTTGAGAGACTTTAGGAAGAAAATTCATACTTTTACCTGATATAAATTTTTAGAAAAAAATATTAATAATCCTACACTCTTTTACATTCTAGAAATATGAAGTTGCCCTAGTTATTACAAAAACAAATATTTAAAAGATCCCTTTCCTCTTTTACACTGCTTCAGATCTTCACATGAAAATAAATGAGTAAAAATTATTATTTTTTGAAATAGGTAATAGAGAGAAAATTAAAGATCTGAAAAAATAATTTTAATATATATTTGGAGAGAAAATGGATCCAAATTTTTTTTCTATTTCTTCAGAACTATGATTTATAAAACGGTTGAAAACTCATGTTAAGGATATAGTTATAAATATGTGTTTTGTACCAATCAACAGATAGTTGTTTTGGTGAGAAAAATAATCAGAAATAGTTGTTAACTTGATGAGAATAAGCACAAAATCACAGATCTTGCACACAAAAAAAGTCAGAAAAAAGTGTTACCTGGAAGTGCTGCTGAACTCATAGAGTTTGCCACGGTTGGAGAAGATGATGAGAGCAACTTCAGCATCACAAAGGATTGAAAGCTCATAAGCTTTCTTGAGTACACCGTTTCTTCTCTTAGCAAAAGTGACTTGTCTGTTAATTTTGTTCTCTATCCTTTTTAGTTCAACTCTCCCTCTTCCCATTTTTGTTCTCTCTCTCACTTGCTCTCTTTCCTGTATTGGTTAAGAGATGAGAATGCTTTCTTAAATGGTTTCTTTGTTTAGGTTACAAAAAGGATAAAACAATAGTGCAAATTATTTGGGGAAAAAACTTGACTTATATGTTTGTTTTTTATTCTTTGTAATTGCTTAATAATAAGCCTAATAAAAGATAGCTAGGTCTCTAACACCTGAAACTAAACCAACTATAACACCTGAGTTTGTAAGTAAGTGCTTGAGTTTTTTACTTTTTCATTGAATTTCAGTTAGGCCTGAATAGGAAATGATATAGAGTTACTAGCTAGGTTATGTTCTCTGTCATCAGCATCAACTTTAATATTGGTCCACATCAACAAGACAAAAGAGATCTATTAGCTGGCCATTCTTTAAAATCAGAAGTGGAGATCTAACCATTGAAGCTTTCCATGATTTAATTGGTTCATCTATCGAATCAAAGTTAACTTGGATAATTAATATAGAAAAAAATAAGTATATTGTAAAAATGGAATGAAACAAAAAATGGATATAAAGTATATGTGATTTAAAGTGTTTTATTTTCTTTTTTTAAATGTGTTTTTATTTATAAATATTAATAATTTTGAAAATTTTGAATTTTATATATAATTTTGAACTCTCTCTTCATTCACTAAATTAAGCGATGTGAGACTTGAAAATTTTAAATTCTATATATGATCTTAGACTCTCTCTTTCTTTACGAAAATAAGGGATGTGAGACTTCTTTAACATGTACTATTTTCAATCAACCCTAACAATTGAAAATAATATATTAACTTTCATTGTCTTCACCGACAATCATACTCTACCATAAAGAATATAGTCACTTGAAGTTACATCACTCCAAGAATTTTCACAGTGTCTTCATCGACAATCATAATTTTAAAAACTATCATACTCTCATGAAAATATACTTCACTTGAAGATAAATCACATAAAGAATTTCACATTGTCATCACCGACAATCATATATTTAACCATGAAGAATAAATTTCACTTGAAGTTAAACCACTTCAAGATTTTTTATATTCCGAAAAACAGGTTGAAACTTTATGGTGCAACTTCCATGTTGGCAGAAAGCTCTTTAACAGTCGACATAATCTCACACACCTTGTGTAAACTGATTGTATCAACACATCTTTGACTTGAATTTTCTACAAGTCAAAATTGATTCTTCCATCAAATTTCTCTAAATCAATCTAAAATTTATTTTCTGATGTGGAAGATCAGACAAAATTGCAACTACTGAGTATACTAAAATTTATACCTCACCAAAACAGGCTTTGATACAACTTGTTGGGATATAACGTGGAAACTCAAAAATCAGAGAAAATACCGTGACCATTGTTAAATGAAAACCAAAGAATAATATTATGTGAAAATTATTACAATACATAATATACTTTCAACCACTCCACAGCCTCAAATATATCCACACTCTCCAAAGTAAACAAACTTAAAGTGTTTTTGACTAGTGCATATTGTAAAGAAAAACTTAAATCCTATATATAACTTTGGACTACTTCATTCACTAAACTAAGCGATGTGAGACTCGAAAAAACTTTAATTTTATATATAGTCTTGGACTCCCTCTTCCTTTACAAAAATAAGCGATGTGAGACTTATTCAACATGTATATTTTCAACCAACTCCAACTGTTATTTCTCTCCTCTATTTTTTTCAATAAAAGCAAATTATTGAATAAAATATGAAAAACAAAAAGGATAGGGGCATAAACCATAACTCATCAAAAAATAGCACAAACGATAATTAGCATGCCCAATCTATCTTTCAAAAAAATTTCAAAAGCACAAATAAGAAGTGAATTCCACCAAGTGTAATCCTGCATTGGCTAATCTATTTTATATACATTTCTCTATCTGAAAATGTGAGATATCTTGAACCTGAAGGAATGTATAGTGTGTAAGATATTTTCTTATTTAATTAAAATATGCCAAAAGATAATATTCACATTCGAAAATGCATGAATGGTCCGCGTTGCTTCAGTTTTAAGCTAAATATTTCTCTAATTCTTCTTGTTAGCATATTCTATAGCAAGCATGACTCCAAAAATATTCCTAAATAATCCCTAAATATGCAACCACAAGTTGATATTTTAGAATTTTCTCTTGAAACTCCATCTCTATTGTAGTTAATCCCATTATGGCTATGAAATCACCTATTAATTTGTATGATTCTAAGTGCAGAGGAGATTGACATTTGATTTCAAAACATTTAGTAATTGTAAACTCGTGAATTAAATAGTACACGTGTCCCCTTGAAAGAAGTACATGCAACATATGCCAATTGTTTAACTTGAAAAATGGCTTTATCAAAGTCAATTTTACCATTCATGATCAGATTTTAATACCAGCAAGTTTGAATAACCTTTCTTAACTAGCTATATCAACGTTCTGTAACGATTTTTAATTTTAATAACAATAATTATTAATAATAAAAATCAATTTTAATGTGGTTCATAGCTTATGAGATTTTGGTTCCGAAAAGAGTATGATTTTTTATGGTTTTAATGGAAATTAATATGATCGTTAAATTGGATGGTAATGGGATTTTAATGGCTTTAAATTCTTGATAATAGAATCAAGCCTATAAATAGTATTTGGTTCTCAAAGCTTTCTTTTGTAGCTTTCAGAAATACACCATCTATATCGAGAAAGCAAAAGTTTGGAAGAATCAAAGGCAGTACACTCACAACACTGCAACAATAGCGGGAGATAAACTTTTAATTTTATTTCCACATTTAGTTTATTAATCTTGTTGTTCTTTTGTTATCAGAAATATATGATCAATTTATAAATTATGGTCTAACATTTAGTATCAGAGTTTTCACTGCCTCTGCCTTGTTTTAGTATTAGTTCTTCCATATTCGGTATTTTTGTGATTTATTTTGAGTTTTATATTTTAGAATATTATGTTTCAAAATATTATCACAAGATTAAATAATAAAAAAATTCTAAGAATTTTTAACAGTACCCGATAATCCTGAGTTATGGAAATTTCACAGAATGAACAGTAAATCGGTGAACAGTAAAAAAAGTAAGGAATGTTTGCACAGACTAAGAGTTAAACCAAGGCCCTTTTCCTTTCAATTTAGAATCACAACCGCTGGGCCATATGCTAAATCTGTATATTCTGTTGTTTTGTTAATATAAACATTAAATCTGTTTATTGATTTGTTATATTTGATCTATCCATTTTGTTTTTGAAATAAAACTATGCATAAATCAAAACTGATTTATAATGTTATTGTAATTATTTTGTTAAGGAGTTGTATGTGAGATCTTATTTATTTATTTATTTATTTATTTATTTTTATCCTCTCATATAATTGATTTATTATGTCTAGTGATCGTTATAATTTTGATTAGTTTGGATTAGCCACAATATTCTTAAATTAATTGAGATTATTTCTAAAATTTTGAGATCACATAAATAATTAGACATAAAACTGTGATTAATTATATATGGTACAATGAATTTTATCCTGCAGAAATATTCATCATATTTGTATAATTAATTAGGATAAAATATCAAATTATTTTTCATAACTTGTCCACATGAATTATGAATTAGTATATAATTTGATAGTTTTATTATAAAGTATAAAATTGTGTTGTAGTCTAAAAAATCTATCGTAAATTAAATAAATCTTATTACATTAAAAATTTAGTTCACAAGTAATTTTTATATTACAAGATTTATTTTATGGTATGTTTATATTGATAATACATGTAATTTAGATGATATTTATGTCTCAAGATTTTGACATAAATTTTTGTTTATTTTTTAGCTTCTCAACCTGCTAATTTTTTTGATATCCGATGTGATATTCCCGAGCTCAGAGGAGATAAGTATAAGGTGTGGAAGGAAAGAGTTCTCCTCCATCTAGGATGGATGAACATAGATTATTCTATTAGGAAAGACGAACCGCATGCAATTATAGATGAAAGCACTCCAATTGCAATCGCACTATATGAGCGGTGAGAGAGATCCAACCGACTCAGTGTGATGTTCATTAAGACTAAGGCCACAAGTGAAATACGTGGTTTTGTCGATCAACATGAGAATGTTCGTGATTTACTGAAATCCATTGACGATCAGTTCGTCTCTTCTGAAAAGGCTTTGTAAGCACATTAATTGTGAAATTTTCTTCCTACCGACTCACCAGTGTGAAAGGTGTGTGTGAGCACATAATGAAAATGCGTGACATTTCAGCTCAACTTAAGAAACTTGAGGTTGTTATGTCTGAGTCCTTCCTGGTGCACTACATTCTGAACTCTCTTTCGTCTGAGTATGGGCCTTTCAAGATTTTCTACAATACACATAAAGATAAATGGTCAATCAATGAGTTGATGACCATGTGTGTTCAGGAAGAAGAAAGACTTGTAATGGAACAAAGTGAGAGTGTATTGTTGACAATCACTCGTGGGAAGAATAAAGCTTTCAAAACTGATAAGTCTCAAGCCAATCAGAAAGGGAATTCAAAATACCACCGCATGGTGATATCAAGAAAGAAGCAAAGTGTTAATTATGTAAAAAGGGGGACACATGAAGAAGGAATGCCCTGGATTCAAAGAATGACTTGAGAAGAAAGGTAATTTATTCTTATTTATTTGTTATGAATCTAATATGACTGATGTTAATATTAACACCTGGTGGATTGATTATGGATCAACAATCCATATAACAAATTCCTTACAGGGTATGCAAAAGCTAAGAAAGCCAGTGGGAAGTGAGCGGACTATCATATCAGGAAGCAGGATAGGCTCACATGTGGAAGCTATTGAAACTTGAAATTTAATTTTGAATAATGGTTTTGTTTTGAAATTAAAAAGGACCTTTTATGTATCAAGTTTCTCACGAAACTTGATTTCAGTTTCTAGACGTGTACCTTTTGGATATTCCTTTAATTTTAAAGACACCTTGTTTGAATTATTTTATAATTCAGA